CGGAATCAGGTTTTTAATATAACTACAGTAACTTTTAGATCTTTTTTTGACTACTGAATGGGGTAAAACGTGCTTTAAATTTATTAAAACCAAAAGGTGACTATGGGTTGTAAAGAAGGTCTTTCAACAGCTCCTACTGAAACACAAAGAAGCCATGCTGGAACCTCTCTTTTAAAATCTTTGTAGACATCACTGAGTAGTCCTGCCTTAAATAAAAAAAAAAAAAAATTAAATAATGGCACAATTTCACCCTGAATCTTTTGCTCCGTTGGTGAAAGTCACAAAGAAAAGTCCTAAAATTATACAATTATAATAATAAATCAATTCAGCATGTCATCTCTGCTTTTCTACATTAATAAATTAACCATGTAACATTGTTCAAAATTATGTCAGTTACGCATATAATAATCTTTTAAATTAATGAAGTGATGAAGCAGTTTGATGACACCCATGATTTACAGGGCTGCTTTTAGCTAATGTTAAAAGCCTTTCATTTAATAAATTGTCCCCTTGAGAAATTACCAAAAATTAATATTTTCTATGCTAAATGTTCCAAGGTTTACACTTTTTCACTATATTAGCAAATGGCAAGAGAGAAGCATTTTTCAAAATATATCTTCTTTTACATATATTTAATTGAAATTAATTAGTATATTACTTTAGAAGGAAATGATCACAGAGAAAGGTGTGGGATCATTTATGAGAGTTTCTTATGGTAATAAACCAGCATTTAAACAATGGAATTAATCATGTCCTTAAATTTTTTTATGATAGATCAGGAATCATTCCAAGCTTTTTGATTAAATAGAAGGACATTCCATACAGACTGGACTAAAAAAAAAAAAAAAATTCCAGCTATTCCACTGCAGTTAATATTTCCCTGGTTTCATTATGTCAGGATATGCGCATGCTGAGTATTTACTGATCTAAAAGCAGGATTCTGAGTGAGGTTCACAAGATATATTTTGCTTTGCTCTTCCTTGTGGTTGGCACCCTGATGTAATGTATGCACAAGGTTATGAATGCTTAATATTTCCCATTTTATGCACATCTTATCAGAAGCGAGCTTTAAAGCCACTTTCTCCTAGGGTTGGTTGGGATTCAAGGAACATAACGTGAAATGGTATAGTATGTCCTATTAAAGAGGTTAAAATGGAGGTTATAATTATGAAAGCTCAATAGATTTGAAAGCCAACACAGTGCCCCCTCACATGTGATACTATCTCTAGAAAGGGAAAGAGATATATAGGACTATAAAGGGAAGTCTGTAATTGATGTTCTCTGTACTTATTAGGATTTGTTTTAGTAACATCAGGGACTCGTTTTTGTACTACCTCTGAATAAATAATGTGCACAGTAGGTTGGGTCAATTCCTTTTCACTTTGAAATATTTTCAGCGGTTGCACTAAACCCAAGAATAATTCATTGGCTTTTTGTAAGGCAGCCGGATGTATTATGAAAAATAGGTGCGTTAACTGATTTATGGGGGGGTGGAGGGGGTGTCTGTAATAGGGGCCAGCATGAAAAAGAAGGGACTCTTGACCTTTGGGGTGATTGGAAAGAATTTTCCATCTCAATCAGTAGCATTTCTCAAAAAACAAACAGGATTGCAGAAAAAGACCTTGTTCCAGTGTTAGTATTTGAATGCTCCACGGGTGAAATCTGCCACATAGCAGAGCGCCCGATGGGACACCCACATATAATTACCCATGGACAGAGCTCTGCCTCCTGTAAGTAAACCACCATAATGAGCACAGCTCCTCAAATACATATTTGTTTTAAAAATAAGTGAAACAGAACCATCCCAAAAAAGCCTGAAAATTGATTCCAGTGCAGGCTTTGTTTGGCTCCTGCTTCTGGCACTGATTCCAGAGTTTAATATCTCCGGCAAGTTGCTGCCTTATCCCCCGTGCCAAGTTCCAGATCTCTCAAACTGCTCCGGCCCCACAAGTCACCCACTGTATGAGAGACATGGTGATGCTTAGCTAACATTTGTGTCCTTTAGTCCTTTGATATATCTGTGGGTGAAAAGACCCACAGAAGGACGAATTAATTTCTAATAGCAGTGATTAACAGATTAGTTGTGGGTTGTTCTGGTATTTCTATAGGTATCCCTGTGCAGCAACCTCTGAAACTTGTAAGGTTTTTTGCTTGGCAATTTGGTTAGTTTAGGGTTTGTTTGGTGAAAATATGTACTGGGGGGCTTTGGAGGTATGTAATGTGTAAAACTACGTATTACAGCTTTGGAGAGCCGCCTCTAGGGTCTCTCCTCTAGTGCTCCAACCCTTCCTTGGAAAAAGATCCAGGAAATCCTGTCTGTCTATCACCTTCCTCTTGCATTAACTAGGTAGTGAGGGACAGGGTTTTTTTTCTCAAGTACTTTTTAAGTGTGAAAGCCCCCCTTGAAATTCACTCTTCAGGAAGGGTCTAGTTCCATCTGGTCTTAAGAAACAGTGTCAGTTCTAGCAAAGTGAGAAGAATTTCTGTGGTGGTGGAAAACAATATTGCACACACTTCTGCATACAAAGTTAGTCCATCCAGAGACAAAGGGCCTGATCCTGTAAAAGTACGAGATCTGAGGATACTTAAGATAAATTCCACTAGTGATTTGTACTGACCAGGAGTCAAGACAGTGTTCTCTGAAAAATGTGAAGTATTTTGAGGATCATAGAATCGTCTTCTACTATGCTCTCAGTTTTGGGATACCATCTTGAAAGTGTTGCCAACTTTTGGGTATGTGCAAAAAGCATCTGTTAATATGAAGCGTAGTTTCCAAATAATTTAGCAAAGCAGAAATATCTGTGTATAGAAGTGTCACTCTCTGCCCCTGGGCAACCAAGACATCTGTAAATTCAAGGCGTGGACAAAAGTCATGGGGCCAAACTTGAGACCTTGTAGGGAAAGGGTTGCTTCAGCAGCTGCAAAGTGACCAACAGCCATTAGGTTTGATTTGAGCTCTCTAGACATTTGGCAAACTTTTGATTGTAGTGAAAAAATTAATGTGGGTGAGTCTAGTTTTTGCTGTGAAACTTGTGGATGATTCTAGAGATTATTAGTTTGGGGTGTTTGTTGACAGAACATCTCACCCTGATTTCTGCAAGAAAATGGACTTCAGCATCTTCCAAGCTGGAAAACTGGTGGGAATGATAATATGAGGGAATTAATGATACTTATTTGTTTAAAAGCAGAAATAGTGGTATTCATTTCTCCTTATTAATAGATATTTAGATTTTATCTATAAGAGAATATAATGAGTAATAACAACAAAAGCATAGAATAAGTCGCAGTCTCTGAGAAAAGCATGTCTGACCATCAGAACAAACAAGGAGTTTCTTAATTTGTGCTTCTGTTGGGATAGATAAGGATTGCATCATCCTGTGTAACATAACCTATCCAAATGCAGATAGGGCCAGGAAACCCATACATTTCTGCCAAGAGAGTTTCTGCTTAAATATCTTTATGGCAAGAAAGAATTCCATCTCACTCCTCAAGTCCTGGAACAAATTGAAGGGTTGGTCCCTAACAGTAATTTTTCAGATGAGGAAATGACCTCAAACTGCCTCAAGAGATTTGGCAGAGAAGGGTCGAGAGGATGCAGAAGAAAAGGAGGAGACCTTGAGAAGGACGGAGGGCTCCCTCCTCTACTGTTGTTTTGGGATGAAAGCTGTAGGGATGGAGAGGGAAGTTTCAGCATAAAAGACCTTAGCTGTTTGCACTTTCAGCTCATGTTCTTGATGATTTTGTAGCATCTGCTGCTGTGGGGTTTGCTGTAACTGCCTCTGTGTCCCTACCAGACATATCTTTAAGCTTTAAGTAGAAACTCGTCCCAGTCCACGTAAGGGTCTTTTGCACCTACAGTTTGGCTGAGGCTCAGTCCAAGATCTGTGAAGAGCATGCTCTGAGCCTTGCTCCAGACAAGTGTCAGCTGTGGGACAATGCTGTTGGGTCTTAATATTGGTAGGACAAAGGCTTCTATGCAAAGATAAGAATTACATGGGGGATGATTTCTAAGTAATTAAGTAGCAGATAAGCCTGCATCAGTGTTTACCGTATCCTATTGGCCACAGCAAGGTAGCATTACAGGAAGATCTGTTGTTTCCCTTGCTTAGTTGTCAATAATATCATCTACATACCCCTGTCTTCCAAAGTTGAAGTCACCCTTCATATTGTTTACCAACCAGAATAATTTTATTAACACCTTTTTTGCAAAAGCATCATCTTTTATTTAAAGTTGTCAGACTTGAGGGTTGAGGAGGGCGGTAGAAAAACTTACTAGGCCTTAAAGCTCTTTCTTGCAGAAGAGTGAGGTGAGGCATCCAAAGATCCAGGTTTTCAGGCCTTAAATATGGGATGTAAAGCACAGCTGTGTTAGCAAAGTGTTGTGTGCCAAGTCAAGCACCTTAATTGAAATTTAGGCCAATGCTGAGAATCTATAGGGAAGTTTTGCTTTAAGTGACTATCACATTTCTGTTACACATCTGTGAAGGGGATGGGAAGAAAAATTCCTGCCCACTGCTCGAAGTGCTAAGTATCCCCACTTTCCTGCTCCTCCATCATTTGCCCACTGCGTTTAATTACTTGACAAGGAAGGATGTGTGTGTTGGCACGTGCAAGATTTAGCTGGAGTGTCACACCAGGTGCAGATTTGCTAGGGGATGCAGGGGCTTTAGGCCTTTCCTAAGCAATCGCAGTCTGTCCTGGGGATAATGGTGTGACTGGATTTGTCCCCACATACTCTTATAATCAGTCCACCTGTCCTGTCAGGTCATGCTGCCCCTGTCCTGGGGCTAATCAGTCCCATGGAGCATCAGCCCTCTGCACAGGGTAGCATGCTGAAAAAGTTCACTTTACCAGTAAAATTGACTAAATCAAATAAATCTTTTAAAAGAGCAGCCAGTCTCACGAATGGTATGCCCAGCAGAGGTTGTTTGAATTAGCCAAGAAATAAAGTGATCAAAAATTAAACTAAATAACCAATTTATTAAAGAAGAATGAGCCAGGCAATATTTGAGCAAAAGCATCTCTTTCCACCTGCCAGGAGGTGGTAGAGTTGGTGCAAAGCCACAGTGGTCAGTGGATGAAGACAAGTCAGGAGGAAGAAGAGGAGGGCAGGAAAGCTCCAACTGACACAGCCTGCCCCCTCCTTCAGTTCCTTGATGTGCATCACATCCAAGTCCCGGATGAGAGAGGGGCAGGTACAGAAGATGACCTCAAAATCTGAAAGAATGTAGATCAGACAGCACATGAGTAACACAAGGAAGGCACAAATGTACCAGAGGGAAAAAGGCACCAGCTGCAAAAAAAATAAACTAAAAAATTTTTAAAAATTAAAAAAAATGAACTTGAAATCTGGCAATTTATTGGCTGACTGTGGAGCACAAGGTGATACCAAGCATGGTTTTTGCTTGCTGATGGGTACAGAGGAAAGGCTAGGGTATGGTCACGTTCAGACCGGGCTTGCATAGAGGAGAGAAATTCACAGAGCCTGACTCACCCCTGGTTCACGCTTTGCACGGTCTCTTCCAGCCTCTGCAGAGGAGATGCAAGAAGTGCCAGTTCACGTGGTTGTGCAATACACTGGAGGAGGCTGAGTTCCTCCCAGCAGCTGCCTGCAGTGGCAGCAAGGGTTTGCCGGGCATGAGGAAAGGTAAGACAGAAAAAGCCTCCCCTGGGTGAGGGCAAAAATAGAAGTCAAAAAGGTAGCGGAGGAGTCACTACTGATGCTCTGTGTGACAACTGTAAGGGCGAGTGGAGAGAATTGAGTTTGGAAGCAGCCACAATGCCCTGCAAAAGCATCTCCCATCATGTAAACATGATGATAGGAGCAAGTAACGCACTGTAATTGGAAACAATATTAACTATTCCAGAACCTCTTTGACCAAAAAGCATAAAATCTTTGCATTTTGGATAGAAACTCCTCCCCAGGAAATACATATTTTACATATCCAGACCTAATGCTGTTGATTCAGAAGTCAGCAGATAAAAAAGTTACTGTTCGTCGTGGGTGCTATTTGAGGGCATGCAGTTGCACACGAAGCTTTATGGAGCTGCAGAGGATGAAAAATACTATGTCTAGACTGCCAGCTCAGTGCCAAGCTGCTGTCTGATGCAGTGAAAATATAAAGGTATACCATGTCTTCTTCAGCTTTTAATACCTGGAAATGCCAGCAGACCTTGGCAGACCAAACTGCTGCGAAGGGGTCAGCGAGACATAATGAAACATCCATGAGGGAAGAAGCATCCTTGGCATTATACATGCATTTGCACAGGTTTGCAGGGCAGCCTGCTATTCCATATCTCAGGTTATGTTAGCTGTTTATAAATTATTCCCTAAGTTTTATCACACACGCATATTCATTTTTAATGCTTAAATACACATTAAGAATAATTTTCGCTAAAGGATGGTCCCTAATTCCATCAGGAGCAAAGCTAAGGAAATGATACATGCAAATTTGAGCAGGGGTTGGTACCATTAATCACTGGCTTGTCTTCCTGGAGGGAACTTGCCAGTCCTGGGTCTGTTGGAGCTTGCAGCCTGGATGGGAGCCTAAAGGCCTTGGATGAAACCCTACCTGCGTGCCAGAGGTCCTTAACACTCCAAACTTGCCACTCCCACACCCAAAGGAAAGCTCTCCAGCTCTTCTGCTTTCCCACAAAGACTAAATCTTTCAATTGCCTCCCACACAAACCAAGGGAAAGGATGGAGCAAAATGCATTTTAATGAGCATTTGAATAATCATCGGGATGAGCACTTTTCACTGACATAGCACCTTTTGTTCGAGCGATTTATAAACATCCATTAAGCCTGACAACTTCCCTGAAGGGTAATTATTCTTACTTTTTTTTTTTAGTCTTGGGAAGTGGAGAGCTGGGATTTGCTTGAGGATAGGGCAGGAAACTCATGGTGGGGCTGGAAATGGGAACCCCGCGTGTGGGATTTCCTTTCCCCCCTCCACAGGGTTTCCTCTTGGCTCTCTAATCACTGAGCGAGATCTTGATGACCAGATGCTCATAGATAACACAGCTCAAATATTGCTTCCTCTCTGCAAATTGCATGTTGGCTTGGTTCAAAGGCCAAATCCTATTCTGCCATCAGCCGGTGGCAAGGATCCCATCGAACATCAGTGAAAGGGAGGCCAAGCTGCAAGAGTTTGGAAAACAAAGCTAAATATGTGAAAACTTTTGCAACCGGACACAGTTGCAGAGTGCCATGTGGTTTAGAGCATTTTCTTTTGCTTGAGGAAACCTGGAAAGCTTTAAATGAAACTGTTTCTAAAAGGCACATCCAGGGAGCTTTATCCAAAACCACTGGCAAGGCATTTCCCTCCCAGACAGTGTGCACGTTCCAGGGTGCAATGACAATATTTCTTCTCTGACATCGCCAGTTAAAAGGATTTATTTTCAGTAAAATAGAGTACTTCAGTTGTGTGATGGGCAAAAAAAGGTACTATATAATTAAAAGTGGTATTAGACAGAAAAATGAGATGTTAGGCAGATAATTAGGGAACTATTATAATTAGAATGTGCTTTTAAATCCCTTAGTAGCTTCTATTATGAAAGGGATGTCCTCTGATTAACTAATATTTCCTTTAAGTAGATATTTTTCCTCTTCCTTTTGGACAGGACAGCTAGAACTGAATGACTTCATCTTAAAAAATCACAGTTTACTGGGGCAAGAGTTTTCCTTGTAGCAAGCCAGTTTTGCTCAGGAAAAAAAGACCTATATTGGGGTTGAAAGTGGCAGGGAAGACTTTACTAGTAAGCTTATTAAATTGCTTCTCTCCTCTATTAAATACAATCTTATTTATAGACAGTATTTAGTATTCTTTGTATTGAACCTTTTAGAGAAATTATTGCTGTTAGAGCAGTGATAGCCTTAGATTAAATTTTTATTCATGCAGGTTTTATACAAACGAAACTGCTGCATATTTCTATGTGAAATAGAAAACCGTGATGGTTTTGAAAGAATGGGGAGCTTCAGTGAGAGCTGTCTGACAGCTGCTGTTAATGAACACAAACCAACAAGCCTCTCGGAAGCTGCTTGTCTCTCCCTGGCTCTCCGGCAGGGAGTAGGGAAGGACAGAGATCTGTCCCACTGCTTACAGTCCCATAAATCAGAGTAACTCTGCTGAAGTCAGTACAATTGTAAGAGAGTTAAAACTAGAGGAAGTGGGAGCATTAACTATCCCATTCCCCTCACCTAAGCCTTTGCAGGCGCTGGTTTGCAGGGAACTGCTGTGAGAAAATGTCATGGGCAAATAAGGAAAAATGGAAAAGGAAAATAACTTGCTGAAAATGCAGCCTCCCTCCTCCCTTTTTTTTTTTTTAATTAAGTCTAAAATTTTAGGAATTGAGAAAGAAATGAGTGCAAAAGTTCAATATGATCACAAAGGCCAAATGTTGCCTTTTATTTGTAAAAGTAGGAGGGGAGAGCAGAGGAGGAGACAGCCAAGCGTCCATGCCCAGCACTGATGTATGTTTGCATACTGCTGTATTTGGACAAACAAGTCTCCTGGTCTTTCACCTAAAACCCAAAAAGCAGATAGATAATTGCCTTATGCAGGGTCAAGATCCTTGGCATCCATCTGCAGATATAAAGATAACTTACTTAAAAAAGCATTTGTGGTACATGTGATTCCAGCTTACTGGACATTTTGTTGAGAGAAACATTTACAAAAATGCTTCCAAATAGCTGAATGGTAAGGGAAAAGGTGAAACCAACCCCAAATATAGTACACAGGCCCTGGAGAAAGGAGCCTGGGGAAGAGACACCCTGCCTGAGTTTGGAGACTCCCAAGCCTGACATGGGCATTGCTACGAGAGCAGCAAAAAAGGCTGGAAAAAGTGTTTCCAGTGTGGTGAGTGGAAAGGGTTTCCAACCTACTACTTCTGGAAGGGAAGAGGAGAAACATCTCTTTGGGATGTCTTAAGGAAATATAGACATGGAGATCATCTCTTAGAAGCTCCAGAGATCATCAGTGCACCAACACTCCAGTAGCAGGCTCTCAGGCACAGTGCTGCCATGTCTACCTGGACCATCCACCCACTAACCAGGGAAAAGCCAGCAGCAATGAAATTCCAGTGGTGGGAGAAGGTGGCAAAACATCATCGACTGCCAGTGAGACTGAAGGAGGGACCTGCGGGCAAATGGCTCATCCAAAGATGGGAAACCCTCAGAGTCATAGACAGCCTGGATTGCTGCTTGCACTGGTTATGTGGTGGAGTGGAAGCTCATGCTGCCTGGCAGGGCACCAAGTCAGCATTTCACCGGCAAATTTGGAAACATCGTTCATCTGTCAGCACCAGCACACCCCTGACACCGTGATTTGCCACTAAGGAAAACTTACAGGAGCTGGGAATCATCAAGGATCCACTTAAACTCTCTTACAGTGAATGAGCCAGATCCTTTGAGATGATTTTTGGCCTTTCTCCATGGATCTGACAGATCCAGCCCCTTGTTGGGGTCAAAGGGACAAGACATTAGTGGTCTAACAGCAAAGCCTCCTGACTTAGTGTTCTTGCCGAAGGAGATGACCACATCAACAAATCCACCCAGGACTGTGTTGCTGAGCCCTCATGAAGACTATCCAGACTCTGGAAAAAACCCATCAAGGTAAACTGCAGAGATGCTGATGCCAGTGTGGACTGGGTTCAAATGATGTCTCCTGACTTTCCAAGATGACCCCTGACTTAGAAGTCAGGGGGAAAGACACAAACCAAAGGGTGTGAAGGGAATTTGGTGATTCAAAGCTGTGGCCTCCTGCCCTATATTTGCAGGATGAGGTCACAGGGGAATGTGAAACAGTTTTTCTTAATCCATTGAAAAATATCTGGGCTTCTCACTCCTGCAGAAAAGAGCCATTTGGCTTAATGATACCTTCCAGCTCTATGGTGCCACTCACCCAAAATGATGAAGCCTTTTACATGTCTTAATTCATCCTTTCAGCAAATGGCCAAGCCTCTGCACAGCAAAGTGCTCATGTTAACAGTACAGCACAATGGGGAAAATACAGTATAGAAAAATATGATGGTTTTATGTCTTTTATGTCTTATATTGCAAACACATAAAAACAATTAGGGTTTGGAGAATATTTTTTAAAAGCAAAGAGAATGATTGGCAAGGCAGGGAAAACAAGTACTATACCCCTGAGAGTGTCAAGGACATATTATTTTCCCAATTTTACAGAATAGAAGTGCCAGATCAAAATTACTTTCCCAAGATCACACAGGGTGATCCTGCCACCTTTTCTATTGAGTAGTTCTTACTCAAGGGTTTGTCTGTCTTCATGCCCAGAGACCTCTGTGTTTTAGGGAGTTTAAAGCCTGCTATCCAGTGGTGTAAATTTACAGCGTATTAGCTACTCTATATTTATTCCCCACATAAATATCTTTTCAAAATGAGCTGCCTCACCCAAAGGCACTTTCAGAAGTGTAAGGCCAGCGGTAATGCCGCTAAAAGAATTAACACTGTCCCACATAATTAGCGGTAATTAGTACTGGTTAGGACAGGAGTTAATGCACACTAGTGGACATAAATTCTACCTTTGTGTCCCTGTGCTGACATAAAACCAGCCTGGGAATAAGATCCCACTGGGTGGGAAAGTGAAGGGACCAGGTTAGTTACCTGATGCCTTGTGATGCTGAAGCTCAAATTCTCTTTATTCCAGACCTTTCTTCCCATCATGAAAGCCTGAATACTCTTTTTGGCAGGGTAACCATTCTGCCGATGTCCTGGTGGTATTTCATAACCCATCATTTCTCTGGGTCCTGCAGGTGAAAGAAAACCTGGATATCAAAACCCGTCCGCTGCATTGATATAGCCAAATACATTCAGGGATATTTTCATAGTTTCCCACTCTGGAGTTAACTATTTGTGGCAGCAAAACTAAATTACAGACTCGACAGCAAAGAAAACCAATCAAAAAAAAAGAAAGGATCAGAATAAATTCCAGCTATCCCCCTCCTGCAGGTGAGAAGTTGAGGGCATGATGGATGGCTTTGCAGAGGAAGGAGGATGTGTGTTGGGGCACAGGTGGCACACGTACAAGTGCCAGTGCACATCTGGCATACACATGGATTCAAGACACCAGAGGAAACTGGGACACAGGTGAGAAGTGAAGAACTAGGCACACAGAGAAGGTACTTCACTAATGCTTCAAATGTATTTTATTTCAAACTGTTTTCTACTCCTTGTCCGAGGTCAGAACTGTCCTCCTTTTGGTAGGAATTGAAGTTTTAAAGAAAATAAGGAGTATACAAAGTCACTTGACTGCAAAATCCCTCTTCTTCTTTCCTTTCTTTCTTTACTTTGAAGATGATTTGTCATAGCCCTCAATAGTTATAAATACTTGAAAGGGAAAAACTTGGAGGTAATCTTTTGGACTGAAACCCCTCATTTTTACACCTGGGCAACTGCTGTGCTTATTGAGTTAGGGAAAATAACTTAGCAAACACAGACAGAGTCTCATGATATAATCACAAAGAAAAATGAACTTTTATAACATAGAGACCACCCACTTCAGCTCCAAGGAACAGCCATTGAAAGCCAGGTTTTATTGGGGTTTGAAGGACGTGCAGGCAGAATTGCCATAGGTGCTGAGGCTGAGTCTGATTTCCAACATAACTGAGATCCATCTGCTTCTACTGTCTTCACCCAGACCTGCTGGAGCTGAACACCATTCATAATCAAGGCCCAGATGGTCTCTGGAAAAGGGCCTTTTCCAAGCAGGAAAGTGGTTTGAAGTGTAATTTTAAATTCACTTTCTAAAATACAGAGGTAAACCCCTGTATGGACACTTACTTTGATTTAACCAAATCTTACATTTATTTTGATGATTCATTTGAGCTAAACAAATAGAAAGTGCTCGTAAATTGAATTTTTTTTTATTTTTATTCTGGGCTTTCTATTACCTTAGCTAGTTTAAGGACTCAAGTTAAAGCTGGCATATTTTTATATCAGTTAGTTTTGTCTAAAAACCTGCAGGCCTGTTTGTGCCAGCTCATCGGGCGCTTGTAAATGGATTTCATCTTGATCAAAGCAAGTGGAGGCAAATGTGATTCCCAGTCCGCTGGAGAGGGAATCCCAAGACGATGTCAGCCAAGGGAAGAGTCACCTACTGCAGCCAATGTGTCACAGAACTTCAAAGCAGAATCCGTAGAGAACCTTGGCTAGGAGCAGGGAACAGATCCAAGGGAAAACTTGAGGCAGGATGGCTTGGCATCCTAAACAAAATCTATATTAAGAGACGAGCAGGTAAGAAGAACTTAATAAAAAGCACTGGAAAGTGGAAAGAGGGAATGGAATAAACTACATGCCCATGGCACCATGTGGTCTCACGAAGGAGTTTTCCTAGGAGGTCTCTTACTTGAAACACTAGAGTTTTTAACATGCTCATGAGGTAAAGTTCCTCTGAGAGTTAGTGGCTGTTTGTGATGGTCTCATGGTGTGTTTGGAGGAACACACAAACTCAACCAGGCAGTGAAACAGCAATCAGTGGAGGGGGAGACCCAGGAGCTACACTCTGTGGAGACAGAGCACAGCAGCAGGACAGACCAGAAGACTAAGCAAGGAATGTGTCAAACCACATTTCATAGTTTTGATGCCAATGCTGTCTCTTTTTGAGAATAGTGTGTGGCACATAGCTCTGGGAGGAGCCACCTGAATCAAGAAGGCAAGAGACTCCTTTGGGTGGCCCCTCATGGAGGAACCTGGCCCAGCGTCCTGATGGCTGGAAGCAGAAATGAGGCAGTTGTCTGCCTCCTGACCCAACAAGGCCAATGAAGGTGACACAAGGATGTCTAGTGAAGTGCTACTGATGGATCCCAGCCTACGTGAAGCCGGTAAGGAAACATTTGGGATGACTGTAGCTCTTCTGAAAAAACATGAAGGGAACTGCAAATATATTCAAGTGCCATAAAGGCTTCAAGTCCGGAGAAACACAGAAAGAGAAATCATATTGCTCACAAGAGTTTGTCAATACCAGTAGGGAGGGAGGAGGAGGTGGCATTCCTAGGTATGGAAACGCAGGGCGGAAAGCCACCAGCCACTCGAGTTCAGTGAGGAAAAGCAGAATTTGAACTGTGTGGGCAAGACAGATGGTGGAGCTTTCCCCTAACTTATAGACCCAACATGTGCTTCTAATACAGAAACTAAAGCAGAAGCTAGAGTTACTGCAAGGCCGAGTGTTCTAATGAATCAAATTGTCTCTACACGACTTCAAAGGCTTTGAGAAGAAGCAAGAATAACTAGAAATGTAACACTAACGGTAAGGACAATGTGGCTGGCACTGGTTAGACCCGATGAGGGTCTCTTCATCAACAGAGAGGCAAACTGTGTATCTAAAAGGATGAAAAAAAAAGTGGGTTTGGTGGTGCTGTACAGCAAAGGAGAGCGAGCAGCAGCATCCTCAAGTTCGGTGAGAATAAAAGTGAGGCAGAACAGGCTTGGTACAAAAATTAGGTGAGCAGTACAGTACTAAAATTTGATGGGGACTGAAGTAAGAAGCATTTCAAGTACTAGCAAGGGCAGGAAAATAATAGAAAGGGTTACAAATGATCAGCAATGCAGACAACTATAATAAACTATAATAAACTTCAGCTTGGAAACATAAAAGGAAAAATATGATCTTGGATGATATCGGAAAAATAATTTAAGCAAGATATTCTGCGGGGGGAGAGATCTGGGTGAGCTCCAAAGTCGCTATTTGTGAGTTAATGAAGAGAGGGGTGGGAACAGCTTGTCTTTAAGCAGAGGCCCAAGAGGCAAAGCATCTCAGCTCTGCTTCTTGTGCCACCACGTAGTTTCTTGGTCAATTACCTTGAAAACTTTCTGTGCTTCAAGAGCTCTGACTGTGGGATGAGGATTTCCTGTTGGGCACACCTGCTCATAAGACGTTCAGCTGCTATGGGGGCACTCCCCATGCCACAAGCTGTCACATAGCATTTGGATGAGTGATCCCATTTCAGGGGGATGCACTTGAGGAAGATCAAACTAAAAGGGATGGTAGAAATGGAGAGGGGGGCCGAAGCCATAGATGAGTTAGTGCATCTGTGCGGTGTCTCATAAACTTGGGTCTTTTCTGATCATGTTTGTGACTAGAGAGTCATAAAAGTAATGTTATGAGGCAAGAAGAGGGGTGAGGCCAAGAATTCAGTGCCCCTGAAATCCCCTGGAACTGCTTAGGTGGGTATAGCCTGCTGACATGCTTTTGTTGGCTCCACCACAGAGAGATTCAGAGCTACTTTGGTCATGTCTACGTGTACTATGATGCATACTTGTCTTCAGAAAAGTACAGCCCTTTTCAAAAGGTGACTTAGGCCCTTAATCCCAGTGACTTTCAATAAGAGTTGGCTGGTAGGCAGCTCCTAAAGTGTGGCTCAATGTCCACATTTGCTAAAGATGGTTTACATCCCCGTCAGAAATGGGGTGCCAAATTTTCTGTGGACTGTGGTCACTGTAGTGCTGAGAAAAGAAACAAAATATCTTTGGAAATATGAACTGAAAAGTTGAATATGGGATAGTCCTCCTCAAAGCATGCTAAGAGCCCTCTTAGTTAAAACAGAGAGTACTTATTTGGTCTAAATACTGCTAAATGCAGGAGAGCTGAGCTGATGGCTGTATGAGATGCTTCTCTGGTTCCATGTAAAAAGTACTCCCTTTCCAGAGTCTGATTTCTTATCTTGTTCCCACAACTACTCTGAGGATAAGAGCAGGAAAGCATTTTCTTTAAAGTGTAATTACAGCTTTTCAGGCAAATGTAGTCTTCAAGGTAAAAAAAAAGTGCTCAGTTGGATAAGCTGGAAGCAAATGTTCTCTTGATGCATCTTGGTGAGTTCTTCTGACTGTGGTTTTCCTTTGAGATCTGCAAATGCCTGCAGATCTTTTGTATGGACCCTTCAACCAAGCCACAGAGAGTGACCATTAGCATCGTGTCATCATGAGGGATGCTCTGAATCCCCGGATTGTTGGAGTTTCCCATCTGAAACCAGCACATGGGCCTGGGCACGAGCCTCTCCCCTGCAGACCTGCAAGGCTGGCATGGAGCAGTCGAGGGCCGGGCCGGGATGCAGGGCTGCCCTTACCGTGGCTGCAGGGCTGTGGAGGAGGCGATGCTGCTGCTGCCTTGTGGGAGGCCCAGGGCTCGGGAGGCAACTCCTGGGTCTGGGGCCCCTCCGAGGGGACGCTTGCTCTGCTCGGAGGAAAGTGCAGCTTTCACTGCCTCCCTCCCTGGTCCCCCTTCCTTCTCTCCTTCGCCTTTTTCCCCCCCCCCCTCCCTGCCTGCTTCTCACAGCTGCTGCCTTGGGGACCCAGCCTTGGTGCGGAGGAGGCCGCCTTCCCCTGCGAGGCTCAAGGGCGAGGGCAGCTGCCTCTGCAGGATGGAGAGGGGCGGCAGGGGCGGGGGCAGCGCAGGCGGAGGATGAGCACGCCTGTCCTTGGAGGCAAAGCCCAGCTCTGTGGTTTTGGGGCTGACGTGGCTGGCGTGGCACTGCTGCGAGTGGGGGGGAGTAGGGAAAGGGGAACGCCGCGTTTGAGTGCCTCTCCTCCGAGAGAGGTTTCAAAAATGGTTAGCGAGGAGAGTTTTTTTTCTAAGTTGCCCTTAGACCGGTCCTTCATGTCCGTGCACACGCAACGTACCCATATAGGCTTTTCTCGCAGCCTTCGTAGCTGGCCAAAAACTATCCAGGGGAGGTCAGAGCTACACGTACGTCCATGTACTCACCTCTAAGACCCCGAAGTGAATGACAGCCACCCATCCTGTTGTCACCCGTGCTGCTGCAGGTCCCCTCCGCTTGCCAGCACACACGTGCACCAAGCTGGATCCAAACCGCTTAGGGCTGAGCCACTTGTGCCCAAAACGCTACGAAACGAAGGAGCAAGAGCAACTAGAAGCTCTTTTGCAGCCCACTCCTCTCCCCCCCTTTTTTCTTCTTTCTTGCCGAGAGAATTGTTTGCGGGTTTGAGGAGAGGGATGTTTAAATAGCTCCGCAGATCCATTTAGTAAAGTCAATATGCAATTATGCAAAAGCCCGTGATAATGCACCCCCAGATGCAGATAACGACGGGCTGGGCTGTCCTGGGGGGAGACGCGAGCAGCTGGCAAACTCTTGGGGTGGGGGATTGCGGGGACCCTCTCACGCTCCCCTGCCTCCCCAGCCCCTCGCAGCCCCAGGCACAGGTCGGTTCCCGGTGCTGGCGGGGCTTGGGATCCCGGGAGCGTCCCGAGCCCCGTTCCGCACCGCGCTGCCGCGCGCAGAACTTTGCTCCTTATTTTCCTTTATTTTTCCAATTTATAAAGCGTAAGTGATTTGCGCCCAAATTTTTCTAGATGGTATCGTTTGCGGGAAGCCCCCTCTCCGTGAGTGCCGAGCTAGAAGAGAGCCTCGGGTTCCCTCCCATCCCACCAGGCTGAATAGCCCCAGATCCCCTCTCTTATTAATGCCCATCCTCTGCAATTGGCATCAGAGGCACGCCGAAATAATGCTGTAATGGGCTCATTAGCCGAGCTGCAGAGCGGCTTAGGTAATAGGAATGGAGCAATAGTGAAAATTAGTTTGGAGGGAAACATCAAATTGAAAAGCTCTGACAAAACTCCTCTTTGCTCTAGTTCAGCCGAGGTACTATCAGCCACCAATATTCAATTCCCTGTGGCTTCAAATTGATTTTATTTTTTTTTTGTTACTCGCTAATTTGCTTCTCGTACAATGTCGCAAGTATTTTCAGACTCATTTGAAAGGGTAAAATACTTTGTTCAACTTTTTAGAAGAGTGGCGTTCGACTTCTTATACCAGAAGTACGATTTCTGCTTTAATTTCTGCTTTATGTACTCTGAGGAAAGTATCCGTAATACCTTCTTGATAAAAAAAATCCCAATCAGCAGGTTGTTGTTTCCTTCAAAGACAGCAATTTTACCCACAGAGACGAACTGGGAGCTGAATTTAGCCCAGCAGAAGTGGGGAAAGTTTCCAGAAAAAAAAAAAAAAGGTATCGAATATTTTAGGCTAATGTCACCCTCTGTTGAACTCTAGCAAGTGGCTCTGAAGGCAAAGAGCTGTCGGAGTTGGTCCGCTACAAGTGGCAGGAGGGTTTGCTTGTACCTTTATTTAACATATTGAAAAAAACCCACTATTGTTCATCTACGTGGGTGTCTCCGGCTTTTTAGGCTACGTGCGGGCATATGTGTGGACTGAAAACAGGCGCTTAGAGATCTTTGCTTTAAAAAACTCCTTGTAGCTCACGTAGACCACTCGATTTTTATCTGCATGTCCAGTCGGCTGCTGCCATTCTCTGTAAATATGACAGAGGCTTTGCATTTCACAGCCCCTCTGCGTCCCTCGCCTCGCAAAAGTCAAGGGGTTTTTTTAAAGGTATTTTTAAAAAAAAAAAAAAAAAAAAAAAAAAAACAAACTAAAAGCAAAACCTTTTTTTTTTTTAATCTCTTCTTGAACTTTGTATTTTTGAGGAGAGCATCCCAGGCGCCACGGGAGCGAAGATCCCAGTGGGCAGGGAGAGAAGGGAGGGGAATTACCCAGCTCAGCTGCATCTGCATGAGAGCACCCGCGTCTCGGGCACGGGCAAAGGTTCGGGAACTTAAAACAGCAACTTTATTGTTTCCTCTAAGCCGGGACGAACACTGGGCTGGCGTGAACTGCCCTCCTGATACCCAACCGAATAGTGGCATCAAAGTGATTGCCTTCGCTGCCCTCCGAGAGCATCCTCGGTGTGGGAGCTTCCCGGATTGGAATCTCTCCCTCTGCCCACGAGCTGCAGCCGGCTGGTGAAGTTTTTAAACAATTTGCAAGTATTTTCCCCTTCTTTTTTCTAAAAAAAATTCCCCCCTGTGCTACATATTTAGCTAATGTCCAACTGCCTCGCATCGGTAAACTCAAACCATCTTTGCCATATCATCGCTTCGCGCTCTGCAGTCAGTAAAGTCCTAAACACTTAAAAGTGGAGGTTTTATACAATTTTACAAGTGTAACCGAAGAAAAAAAAAAATTGTCTCTACGGCTTTTCTGTCCGGGGTCGCTTTTTTCTTCTTCTACCGAGCAATTGGGCACCTCCGGCCCCCCTAAATTGCCGAAAACTGGACTTTTCTCTCGCAGAAAATTTGGAAGCGTTTCTGCCTGTAGTTTTCCCGTCTCCCAGTAGACGGCACAACAGCTCAATCCTTGGGATGCAGAACAGCCCAGCGGCTTTCCCCCTTTTTTTTTTTTTTTAATTAAGCAGCCAGAGTTTTACCCAGCAATTTTGTTTTATTGTTATTATTATTTAATGCAACGAGAAGTATAGGAATATCAACAGGCAAGAGAGAGGGCTTGGCATAGGCAGGGAGTACAGAAGCGCGGGGAGCAGATGGGCTAAAGGCAGGCAGGGAGCGTCGCGAACCCCGGCGCGGAGCAGCGCTTCCAAATTAACCCAAATGAACTTGTAGCGCCTAAATCGTGAAAGAAAAAAAAACTCAACAACCCCAACACTATGGTGCTGCCGGGCTCTGCGGTTATTTTGGGGATTTTAGGCTGAAATTGTCTATTTGTAGTGTGAGATAGGAAGGGCAAGGCTCAGGTCGGCTCTGTGCTGCTTTGCCCCGGCTACCCCGAGGTGCCACCGCGGGGGAAACCTGGCAGCCGCCGCAACTTTTGTCCCTGAAAGGCTCCTTTTGTGTGCGGGTACCTTCACTCCCGTCGCTGTCACCGCTGTCACCGTTGAAGTCACAAAAAATCGCGGCCAGTAACTCATTTCCCAGTTCGTTTTATTAAAATATATATATATATATATATATATATATATATAGCTGTGTTTCGAAAGTTTTAAGACATCCGTAAATTTTATTGGGAAGTATTTTATGAAGCCCTCCATCTAATTAATCAAAATCCCCCATAACTTCTGCAAACGTCAGGGCCAGCCGTGGGGGGGAGCGGGCAGTCCCCGTTCCCGGTTCCCCCGTTCCCCCGCGGTTCCCCGGGCCCGGGCTGTGCCGGCGGTGGGCGCAGGGCAGCCCCGGCTGTCCCCGGGCTGGCTCTCTGGACGGACCCGTCGCTCTTTTGTTTTTCTGCATCGGGAGCTAGTAAACACCCCCCCACACACCCCCAAATCCTGGCGCTGCGCTTCATCTGCGCGCTTAAACCCCTCGCATTTAACCTCCTTTTATGATCACACGCACCCTACCCCCCACCCCGATCTGACCTTTAATGGGCTTTAAACAAGTTCGGGTTTCCCCCCCTCCACCCTCCATCCCTCTTTCAACCGCTCCATCAGGCTCTGACTTTTCGGGTATCTCCGCACGTATCGCTCCCCTCCTTTCCTTATCTGAAGCATTCCTGGATTATCTCCCGGCCGCCTTTTCCAATGCTTTCTTCTGCGGTTTCTTGTTTGTTTGGCTCTTCTGGTTGTTCCTATTTCAGTTTTCAGATTTCAATATTAAGGGTGAAAGAGCACACTTGGATGCTAATTCTGCCCCCATCCCCGTCCCCAGTCCCCCCCTCCCGCCCCCCCAGTCTCTGCTAGGAAGGCGGCAGGGAAGCCTGCTAGAAACCATTTGATTGTTCCTAGGTATGACTAATTCTTTCCTTAAGCTGGGAAATTCAGCCTGATTAAAAGCCTCATTTATTATCCGATAAGCAAATGGACCCAGATTCCACCTCGTGGAGGAGGCTCCCTCGCTCCCCAGACGCCCTTTTTTTGCCTCAGCTCGGAGGGTCCGTTCCTCAAAGGCCCAGCCGGGGTCGGGGGGGTCGCGCAGAGGGCGCGCAGCGCTCCGCGCTCTGCGCCGAGGCCGCTGCTCGGCCCGCCGCTCCCGCCAGACCCCCTCGCTCTTTCCTCATTGCTTTTCCCTTATCCCTATTCTCCCCCTCGCCCCCCCCCCCCCCCCCCCACCCCCCGCACCCCTCTCACTCTTTCGCGATGGACAAGCGTAAATAGATTCCTGCAAAACAGCAAGTTTTGGGGAAAAAAAAAAAAAATAAAAGAGGAGCCTTGCCTAAAAAGGTGGCGGGGCGAGATGCTGTGCGGGTCCTGCTGCCGCTCAGCGCATCAGCCCCGGCAGGAGTTTACCGGGATAGCGCGGATCTGGCCGTTTACTTTTCCCCGTTTAATAGATGATTAATTGCTGTCCGGATTAGCACACCCCCCCCCCTTTTTTTTTTTTTTTTTTTCTCCCTTTTAATTCTGGCCGGCCTCTCGCCGGCGGAGCGGCGGGCAGAGCAGTTCCTCGCAGCGAGCCCTAAGAGTAATAACTGTTTGCTAATTGTAAAATCCTTATCCAGGATGAGGTTTGGGCAAACAATTTGTAGGGCTGTAATTACATTGTAAAAGTGTTTCGGGCTCCGGGTTGCGCTGAATTAAGCTCATAAAGGCCCGGTGAGGACGCTGGAAAAGGGCCTTTTGGTGTTTTTGTTTTTTTCCCCCTAATTTCTTCTTTTTTCGGGGAGGAGGGGGTGAAGGAAAAAAAGGATGGGGAGAGGAGGAGAAGCATCCCTGGGAGTTGAGTCGAAGCAACCCCCTGCAAGGGACCGCTGCGGTGGGGAATCGTTCCCGAGCGCCGTTCCCGGGGGAAATCAACAGGGAGATGAACCCCACGCGCGTCGCTGGGTTGGGTGGGTTGGGGGGGGAGAGTCAGTGTATGAAAACGGCTCTTACCTGAGAGGTCTGTATTTCCCTCGCCGGGATAAAAGGCCGGTTCCTAGCGGAAAGGGGGCGGGAGGGAGGAGAGGAGGGAGTGGGGGAGATCATCGAAGCGGGTTTCCCCGAAGTTTGAGACGTGGCGGCCCCCGGGGCTCCGGCAGCAGCGGAGCAGCGTCCCCGAGGGGTTTAGCGGGGGGACACCCCTGTCACTCCCCCCGTATCCTCCCGGGGGCCGGGGGGTTCCCCCTCTTCCCGTGGGGGAGATGCGATAGCGCCGGGGGGCAGCTCTCCTCGCAGGGCTCCCGCAGGTACGGGAGGAAGGGGCACGGCGAGTTCTCCGCTCCCGCACCGGCGGGGCTGCGGGAAAGGGAGGGATGGCTGTGCTTTGGGGACGCGAGGCAGCGGGACCCCCGGCTCGGCGGGTGGAGGCACCGGCGCGGCGGGCGGGGGGAGGAGGGCAGAACAGCACGGCCGCGGAGCCCGGCGGAGGGGACAGGGCTGGCAATAGGGCTGGCAATAGGGCTGGGAATGGGGCTGGATGGGGACGAGGATGGAGCGGGGGGGGGGGGGTTGTCGATCCCCCCCCCCCCTCACCCCCCCGGCGCGCGCCGGTCCCGAGCCCCGCTCCCCGCGCGGACCAATGGGGGCGCGGCGCGGGGCGGCGCGGCGCTGATTGGCCGTTGGCGGCGCGGCGGCGGCGGCCGGGTGAGCTCACTCGGCCGGCGGCCGCGGGGGGAGCCGCCGGGGGGGGGCGGGCGTTGGGGGGGGCCCGGCCGGCGGAGAAGCGCGGGGCGGGCGGCGCTGGCCACGGCGCGGGAGGGGCGCTGCGCGGGGCGCGGAGCGGCGGCGCCGCCAGACAAAAGGGCGGCGGGAGCGCCCCCACGGCGGCGGCGGGGCGGACGCAGCGTGCTGTGTGTGTGCGAGGGGGGGTGTGTGAGGGCAGGGCCGGGAGGGGGCGGTGTGTGTGTGTGTGAGGAGAGGCGCGGGGGCTGCGGGGCGGGCGGCGCGGCGCGCCCCCCCCCGCGCCGGTGGCGGAGTTGCTGCCGCCCAGCGCATTGTGTAAGACGCGACCTGTTATGGCCACCACTACTTCCGGGTTCCCGCAGTCTGCTCCAGCCCGGCGCGGCTGCTGCGCTCGGGCGGAGCGGCGGCGGAGGGACGGACGGACGGACACACGGAGGGACGGACGGACGGCAGCGCTCGGGCAGCGGCGGCGGCGGCGGCAGCGCCTCCTCCTCCTCCCCCCGCCTCCCTCCCTCCCTCCCCCCCCCATCCCGCCCCGCTGCCCTTCCTCCCGCGCCCGCCCCGCACGGCACCCGCGCCCGGCCCGCCTCCGCCAGCCTCGCCCGCCGGCCGCGCAGGGGCAGAGCGAGCCGGCGCCGGCGAGGAATTAGGAGCGATTCCGCGAGGAGGAGCGGAGAGAGAGAGAGAGAGACAGAGACAGAGAGAGAGAAAAAAAAAAAAGCAGCCCCCCCACTACCACCATCATCATCATCATCATCATAATAACCATAATAAAAGGAGAGCCGGCGCGTTTAGCGAGCCTTTTTAATTTTTAATTTTTTCTCCCCCCTCCTCTTCCTCCTTCTCCTCCTCCCTCGATTTTTTAATTTTTTCTTTTTTTATATAAATTTTTCTCTTTTTTTTTCTTTTTTCTTTTTTTTTTTTTTTTTGGGTGAGCGCACTCGAAAATTAACATTCGCGGTGTCCTGCGCGGTGGGAGCACACGCAGCGGATCATCATCAGTCATTCACCACCTTGACAACCTCGCCTGTGATTGACAGCCGGAGTGGCAAAAAGCCATGAGACTTGGTAGTTGGGTTTGAGGGGCACTTTAAAAAAAAAAAAAAAAAAAAAAAAAAAAGAGAGAGAGAGAGAGAGGAAAAAAAACTGATTTGGGGAAAGGATATTTGCTTTCGCCCCGCTGCTGTCTTGGAAACGAGAGGGGGAGAGTAAGAGAGAGAGACAGGGAGAGAGGGAAGAAAGAAAGAAAAAAGAAGGAAGGAAGGAGGGAGAGTTGATTTTTTTTTTTCTCCTAATTTTTTTTTTCTCCTTTTTTAATGCTGAGTTACCGTATCGCTTCGCTGAGATCCAGCAAGCCGAAGATTTTACTCGATTGCTTCCATTGCTGGCGACGCTAAGGGATTTTTGCCTTTTTTTGGGGGGTGAGGGGGGGGGAACTTCGCGTTTGTTTCTTTTCACACTGGCCTTAAAGAGGATATATTAGAAGTTGAAGTAGGAAGGGAGCAAGCAGGCCGATGGCGCAAAGGGTACGTATGATTAAAAAAAAATGGATTTCAAATGTGAAATAATATTGAAACGTGGCTGACAGAGACGCTGCGAAAAAAGTTTCTTTTCTTTTTTTTTTTTTTTTCCTCCTTTTTGGAACAGGGGCACAAAGCGGTGTCCTGCAGTGGGAGGATTTATCAGTTGTACTTGTAGGCTTAAAACCTGCGTATATTGCTATTTTCTTGATTCTTTTACTCCCCATCCCGGAGCTCTCAGGGAAGAGGCAAAACCTTCTATACATTAATGACATGCAGGCATGTAAGTGAATATGTCCGAGCCTCTGTATTTGTTGGTTTTGTAGCTCTAGTCCTACCAATGTCTTTTTTAAAGTCATCAGTGCTTGAAATATTTGAATGTGTGCATGTCTCTGAGCATTTTGCTGTGTTAGTGATGATATACCGCTTCACTTTAGGAAGATAAGTTCTGGCTGGGAGTAAGCACAACTTTTTTTTTTCTTTTACCTCCTTTTTTTTTTCTTCTCTTTTTTTTTTTTTTTAGTATATATTCTGTCACAAAAGGTGCAGTGTAATGGGCAAACCCCCCCACTCTTCTAGAAAGAAAGTGACTTTAATTTGAATTGGAGGTTAACAGCATTCACTGCCATGTGTATTGTTGTTTCTATTTTGGGTGCGATCTCTTTTTTTTTTTTTTTTTTTTTTTTTCTTCCAACTACCTCCTGAATTGAAGTTTTGAGGAGGAAAAAAATAAATCAGCCGAGGTCGGGTGAACAGGGTTTTGGGAAAGGAGAAAAGTCCTGGAAAGAAGTTTTCTTGCCTAATTTGCCTGCCGCCGTCCGAGAGCTGGTTGGGAAAGAAAGTTCCTCTGCTGACAACTTGCCTTTTACTCTTTCGGTCCAAGCAAGTGTCAGGGATCTTTAAAAGTGTTTATTCGCACCTTCGCTTTTAATAGATGAAAAGTGGCCGTTTCCCCCGCTGCCTGGGAACCGCGGTAGCTTTTGCTCCTTAATCTTTAACAAAGAAAACCCTTAAAAAAAAAAAAAAAACAAAACGGAAGGCATTCCCAAAATCCCGAGAGCCCGGGCGAACGTTTCCAGCTTTTCGGCTTTAAAAGTTGCATTCTCGTGGAATTGCTGGGAAATCCGCAAATCGCTAGTTCTGGGTCTTTTTTTTTTTTCCCTTGTGTTTGTATGTGTGCCGCTGCTGAAGTTTTTTGCATCCTCGCTGGGTGTGAGGTACCTGACTTCTTATCAGCGGGGGAAAAAAAAAAAAAAAAAAAAGTTTAGCGGAGGGAAGATTTTGGACTCCGGGAAACCGCTTCCATTCGCAGGAGGGGGGTTGGGAGATTCGGGGGATGGGGATTGGTGCGGGGTGGGGGTTTGTTTTTTTTTTTTTTGCGCTTTTATTTATTTTATTGTTGTTATGATGATTATTATTTCTCCCGCGCCCCAGACTCGGAGGGTTTCGGGCCGGAGGAGCCCGGCCCGGGGCGGTGTTTCCCTCCCCAGGGCCGGCGCGGCGGATCCCGGGCGCGCTCCGGGGGGATCGCGGCGCGTCCCCGGGTGGTGGTGGGGGGACACACAGGGCAGCGAAGCTGCTGCCGAGGGCACTGCCCACTCCCCACACCCCTGACGCCTCTCTGCTCTCTGTCTCTCTCTCTCTCTCTCCCCCTCTTTCTCTCTGTGCCCCGCAGTACGACGAGCTGCCCCACTACGGCGGCATGGAGGGGGTGGGCATCCCCACCACCATGTACGGGGACCCCCACGGCGCCCGCCCCATGCAGCCCGTGCACCACCTCAACCACGGGCCGCCGCTCCACTCGCACCAGTACCCGCACGCCGCCCACGCCAACGCCATGCCCCCCGCCATGGGCGCCTCCGTCAACGACGCCCTCAAGAGAGATAAAGATGCCATCTACGGGTAGGTTTGGCCGCGCAGGGCTCCGCGCAACCTGCGCGGGATGGAGCGCGGGGGAGAGGTGGAAGGGGGGGGGGAGTGCGCGGGGTGGGGAAAGATGGAGGGATGGGCAGCGCTGCGCGGTGAAGGGCCGCGTTCTTAATTTCGTGTCGTTGTTATTACCGGTTTAAAGGGTGGGGAGAGAGGGCTGGGGGTCCCCTCGGTATGGGGAGCCCGGGAAAGTAGGGGGGCAGCAGGCATCGCCGCGGGGAGGAGGAAGAGGAAAATGATATTCCCAGGGCACAACCTGCGCCGGGTTGGTCAATCTCTGCACGGAGTTTTGGGAGCAAGGGACAGTTTGGAGCGCTTTGCCCAACTTTCCACCTTGTTCGTCTTTCCTTGCGTTGTGGAGGAGAGAACTCGAGAGCTGCTTCTCTCAGCTTTTTTTTTTTTTTTAATTTTTCTTTTAATTTTCATTTCTTTTAAAGTTTTTATCCGACAGCATTGAATGTTTCTCAGTGTGGCAACTTGTAAAGCGGTTTCTAGGCCGTTGTGATGGGAGCTGATGGGGTTACACTGGGCGCAGATGCTTTTAAAATGTATCTGCCCAGCTGGAGTTTGAAGGGAAGTTTAGGAGCCTCTAAAAATCGCTCTCAGGACAGTGAGGAGAAGGAGGAGGAAAATAAAATTCATGGCGTTCGGTTACTTTATCGGGTTATAAGAAATATGAAGGGTTGGTTAAAACTCGGCAGTGAACGGTACCCAGAAGAAAAAAAAAAAAAAAGTATGAAGCCCTGGGAGAGAAAAAAAAAAATGAACTCCCTGTTATAAATATACATATATACGTGTGTGTGCGCCCACGCTTATTTATTTATTTAAATTATTAAACGGGCGAGGGAACCAGATGCACACGCTGCCTTTCTCCCGGGAAGGCTTTCCAAGCTGGGATTGCCCAGGAGCACCTGGTTCCCCCCGCGGGTCGGCGGCTGCGGAGCCCCGGGGGGGCGGAGGGCCGGGCAGGCAGTAGGGGAGGCAGCCGGGCAGGCCAGCGCCTGCCAGTGGGTCGGAGCTGTGTTGAGTGGGTTTAGGGGCTTTTTCTTATTTTTTTTTTTTTTTTAATTTGGATGGGGATTGTTTATTTTTCTGTTTTTCTCTTGGTTTGGTATTTTGTTGTTTTTTTTTTTTTTTTCTTTTCCTTTCCCTTTTCGCTCCCAGCAAGTCCTCCAGCAGAAAACAGGAATTAAAAGCTTGAAAGGCAAGAAAGTGTACGTCCAGGGGATTTTAATTTTTTAATTTTTTTTTTGTTTTTTCCTAAAGACAAGGAAAGTTAATTCAAAATGGCTGCTGGAACCGGCTTGGGTTTTATTCTTGGCTTGTCCTAAGGTTGTATTAACAATATCTGCGGCCAGACAGCGCCGAAAGGCCGGGGAGATGCCGGGCTGCCGGCCGGCCGGCTGCGGGAAGGGGCCGGGACGCTGCGGGAGGCGGCGGGGGGTGCCGGAGCCCCCTCTGTGGGTGCCCCCCTCCCCACTCACGCTGCTGCGGGACTAACTATTGTTGTGTTTGGCTTTTTTTTTTTGTTTCGTTATGATATTTTTCCCCCCCTCTGTGTGTGTGACTATTGTATTTTCTTTCAGACACCCCCTGTTCCCTCTTTTAGCACTGATTTTTGAGAAATGTGAATTAGCTACATGCACACCCAGGGAGCCCGGGGTAGCGGGAGGCGATGTTTGCTCCTCTGAGTCTTTCAATGAAGACATAGCAGTGTTCGCCAAACAGGTCAGCAAAACCGGGTTGAAACAGTGAAAGAAAAAAAAAAAAAAAAGGAAAAAGAGGGGAAAAAAATCCGTAACGAGAAAAACAAGTCTCTGTTGAGATAAAGATGCGCGTTTCCCCCTCCCCCCTCTCTTACTGCAAGAGGCAAAAAAAAACCCCAAAACAAAAACCACTCCAAAACCCCAACCAAAGCAAAACACGCAAAAAAACTAATCGGGAAATCTCGGCATTTACCAGCCCCTTAAAAAACTGGGTAATGTGGAGCGGTCTGTGCCTGGCCGGGAGTTTCGCTGCGCGACTCCCGGGAGCCGGGACGGGCTCTGCCGGGGAAGCTCCGTAGGTATTTTTCGGTATATTTGATTCACTTGCTCAAGTGTTTGGCTGATGTACTAAATCCAGCAGTCAGGGCTTTGCACGGAAGGTTACATAATGGACCCGACAGTGTAATGAAGCAAGAAATAATAACGTCTGCTTTTTCTGCTTCCATATTTCAAATCTTTTTTATTATTATTTTTTTCCCCCTCTCCTCCCCTTTCTTATATTTAGATCCGAGCAGAGAAACCCCTCTTTTCCTCTAATCCTGAACTGGATAACTTGGTAAGAGTTAACACTTCTTCCTCTCCCCACCCCCACCCTCCCTTCCCATTTATTTATTATTTTTTTTTTAAATTTCTGTGTCATCTGGAGAGGTGGTTTGGTGGTGCTAAATTGAAAATTTCTCACGTGGATTTTTTTAAAATTACAATTATTATGATGGCGATTTTTATATTTACTAGTAAATACGGTGTGGTAGTTGCTTGCAAGTAAAAAGTCCCGTAAGGATATACATAAAGGAAAGCCCCATCCAAAGGGGAGCTGGCGGGCTTGATGGTGAGCTTTCCTGCCCAAGAGGAGCGTGGATTTATCCCCGCTGTAGCCACCCCCTCCATGCACCTTTTAGCAGCTCCATGGGAAGGGAAACCTAGAGGATTGCTATGGCTGGAGATGCACTGGTGGCAAATTCACCAAAAATGAGATCTTTTCTCTCTTTCTTTCCTTCCCTCCTTAAGGATAAATATTTTGCCTCTGCTGTAGGAGTCCCGCTCCCACTTTCGCAAAGCGAGGAGCCAGTGATGGTGTTTAGAGAGTTGGGGTTTTTTTTTAAAGAAATGTTTATGATCCGTATAATTCAGTTGCTTCGTTGCAATAGGGATTTTTTTTTTTTTTGTTAACTCTAGATCGCTTCTCGTTAAACAGCACACAAAGCCACCGCTATTAAGTTTTAGTGTTATTGCCATAAATCAAAACAACTTTTTATTTACTACTAGAGAAAAGTCAAGCTACAAAGTGCGGCCGGGGCGGCTGTGGGAAATATCTCCAAATCCAGGAATGAGATTAATACTCTTGTTGTTTGTATCTTTGCAGATGATTCAAGCCATACAAGTATTAAGGTTTCATCTGTTGGAATTAGAGAAGGTAATTTTTGTCTCTCTCTTTCTCTCTCTCCTTCCCCCCCTTTCTTCCTCCTCCGTTTCAGTACTGCTGAAGTTCAGGCTTCTGGTAAATTTGCATAAATGTCTTTCTTTCTGGTAATTAGTGTCAAGACCAATCTTGGCGTCCATTTCTCTTCGCAGTTTAATTACAATTTCAGCCTCTAAAACCGAGCTCTCGAACGCCCAGGCCTTGTGTTCATTGTAATACTTTGCTGGCTTTGTATAAATAGTTGCAGTTCTGTGGTGCCGCAGATGAGACTCAAAATGGTTAGTTCAGTCAAGCCCCTGAAATTGTGATTAAAAAATATATATATATATTGTTTTTTCTTGGTGATGGTGAGGAAGGGGCTTCGGTTGCAGTTAGTTGGAATGGGGAATTTTTTAGTTTTTTTTTTTTTTTTTTTTAAGAGCCATCTGCAGGTCAGGCTCAGGGCGCGGATTGTCCTGTAACATTTTGCAGAGACAAAGCAGAGTTGATAGTTCTGTCTGTCTCTTGTTCCTGGGAATATTGTACACCTCCGAGCAGAAGAAAGAGATTGCAGCCTAACTGCAGGATTTTTTTTGTCGGCTGTTTTAGAAATCTTAGGAGGGAGAATGCTAATTTCTAAGAAGGTGGTGTCATCCGAGCTCACATTAAATTGGAAGTGCGCTCTTGGTTTCCTGAGGATTTTTTACGTGTCATTGATAGCTGGCCTACAAGAGAATTCCCTTTCTCCTAAAAATAAACATTTTGAGAGGTTTTTAAATAGTTGAAAAGTTTCTCAGGAGCCTCAGTCACTTTATCTAACCATAACTGGCAGGTTGTTCTCGCTCTACCGAAATGTGTTCAAATCTTCCCATTAATAAAGGCGGCTCAGGTACGAGTCTATCAGAGCGACTGGGGATTTCAGGGCTCGGATGCCTATAATGTATTTCAGCCCAGTGCATCGGGATTTTTTTTTTTTTTAAATCCTTTTTTCTGTCCTCATACCCCTTTGGAAAGGGTTTATGATGAAATAACTGGATGAAATTAAATAGTTTACCTTAAATGTCACCCATGCAGGTCACCTCTCTAATGGCCACAGCTCCGGGAGCAGATGAATTTAACACGGGTGTTGAATATGTTGTAGCCTGTGAATCATCTTGTCACTGTCAATTTTCTGGGATATCTCTATTTTGCGAGAAAAGAAAGTTATTCCTAATTCTGGATGCGTCTAGAGGTCTCAGGGGGATAATTGCAGTGTGTTTCCCCTATTTAGGACTTTTGATGTCACAGGGGTGAAGGGGGGAGACTGGTTGCACTTGTCAATTTTACTTATGTATTCCTGATTATATTTTCTTACCGTTTTTCCCCCCCCTTCTTTCTTTTTCTTTTTTTTCTCTTTTTTTTTTTTTTTTTTTTTTTTTTTTTTTTTTTTTTTTTTTTTTTTTTTTTTTTTTTTTAACCTCTGTCATAATGTAGGTACACGAATTATGTGACAATTTCTGCCACCGGTATATTAGCTGTTTGAAAGGAAAAATGCCTATCGATTTGGTCATAGACGATAGAGAGGGCGGATCAAAATCGGACAGTGAAGACATAACAAGATCAGCAAATCTAACGGATCAGGTATGATCTCGCCAACGCCGCACACGCTAAAATTTGTATGCAGATCGCTCGCTGGGTCACTACGCCTCCTTTTATTATTTGCATATGATTAAGTCCCTTTTAGATAAATTTCCATCGAAATGAAAATTTTTGAATAATGTGGCTATTATTGCTTCATTAAGGCTTGCTCCCGGATTCGACCTGGCGAGATGAGCTTGTAAAAGCGTCGCCTGCAAACTCGACCTGTTTCTTGTCGCTTTTAATTTTTGTCTTTATTTTATTTACCCTTTCCAATAATAGAAGTGGTGTCTGTGGATCGCTGGCTTCTTGGTAGCTTAGGGAAGGAAGGGCTGGAGTCGTTGACCAAAATAATAATAAAATCCGAGATAGGTGGTCCGGGGAAGACAGAGAGGGTTTGAAATCTAGCAAATACTGGCTATTTTCTTCCCGTCTCTACGGTTCATTAGTCCGTCTTGTCAGTTTTCCTTGGCCGAACGCTTTTAGACTTGAGTGAACATTGCTTTGTGCACGCCTGCCTGCTGCAAATGCGCCCATTTTATTTTACTTAATAGGGGGGGAAAAAAAGGGAGAAAATAAAATGGGATTCAGGTTTTAAATTCTTTTTCCTTGATCTTTCAAGTTTTCATGCCCTCTCTCTAAAAAATAAATATAGTCAAAGCCAAAGCCAAGCCAGCAAAGCCTCGCGTGGCTGTGACGGTGTCCAGGTTTTGTTTGGGATGGTTCAGACCTTTAATGCCGGCTGCAGCTGGGTGGGAAATGCGAGTGAGCTGAGTGAGGAGAGCTGGCTGTCCCCTCTCCCCTCCCTCCTCCTCGTCTGTCCCTTCCGCCGGCTGGGATCCTTGCCTTTTCATGGGAGCGTTTGGGGCTAATGCAGGAGGTGCCCAGATCTAAATTAGGCTCCTGGATGATAGAAGTGACTGAGATTTGGCTTTTATTCGAGTTGGGTGAAACGGTGGGGTTTTCGCGGTCCGTTTGTTTTCTCTGAACTGAGGGGTAGCAGCGCTTTGCCTGTGAGAGAAGGGGACCTCGAGCACACACAGAAAAATAAATCCGCGGTTAAAACCCCCAAGTTATTTCTTCTTTATGATCAGCTACGCAAATAGAGTCTTAGGAGCGATCTGCTCCTGACTCTGGAGGTTTCCTTTTGTTCAAGCAAGGCGCAGCCAAGCAGACAGGAGTTGCCTGAGCCGCTTTGCCGTTATCACCGGCACTGTCAGCTGGGAGTTATTTTATAGATCACCGACATGAAGGTGCGTTGCATCGCAGCGTGGGCAGTATCTGAAATATTTTCTCCTGTCTGCCAAAGGCTATCGGGGTAGTGTCGTGACAGGGGGAGGCAGGCTTGAAGGAAGGCATGAACTTTTAAAAAGGGGTTTATATGCGCATAGGTGGGTTGTTTTGGTGTTTTTTGTTTTTTCTTTCCGCCCAATTTTGCTGCGAAGGGGGAAAGCTTGGTGGGGCGGGAGGAGGGCGGCACAGCAGGGCGGTACCCGGGGCCGGGGAGGATGCTCCGGGCGGCCGGCGGCCCCGTACAGCGCCTTAGTGCAAGGGGAACCCTCCAGCCAGGGTCTAGCTGAGGGAAGCTCGGCTCGCTGCTGTTGAATAAAAATTGTAATCCAACAAGTCTAACTAGAAAATGGGTTTCTAAAAGCTCTGGAGTGCTGGGTACATAAAGCTATTTGAGCAAATTACAAGAATCGCTCAGGGGCACGAATGAAATCAACACTTTAATTGCCTCCAAAATGAAGATTTATACCCCATTTTCCCAACGAATCATTATTTTATTAAAGTGAAAGCTAAAGAAATGAAGCTATAGTTTTGGGGTTGTCGGGGGTGTCGGTGTGTTTCTCCACACACCCCCTTGCCTCTACCCCCCCTGCCACCACCTTTTAGTCGCCGGGACCGCGGACCTTACGCTCCCGGGGCCGTCCCCTCTCCCGCTGTGCCGGCTCAGCCCCGGCACCCCCGGCTTGTGCGAGCGCAGCCCCCGCCGCTCCCCGGGGTGCTCCGGCTCCTCGCCGGGCAGCGGGACGCGCAGCTCCGGGGGTGCGGACGGGGTGGGGAGCGGGGCTTTGCTTTCCCCGCTGAAGGGAAAAGATGCAAAAATGCGCTTTCCCACCCCCCACCCCCTCCCCTCTCCCGGCCGATGAGGCGGTGGATCAAACCCACCGGGGTTGCGCGGGGGGGGGGGGGGGGTTTAACGGGGGGATGCGCAGCCACCCGCGCCCTCCGGTAAACTCCGGTGCCAAGCCCGGCCCCGGCGCGGCCGGCAGTATCTGGGCCCTAATGGTTCAATAATAAGGTGTTGAGTGCTGGTCGCCGGGGCGGCTAATTAGGATGTGGCTGCGCAAGGCGCGTTTATGGCTGCGCGGCCCTGGGATGCGCGGGCGCGCAGGGACGGGGCGGTGGGAACGAGGGGCTCCCCGCCTGCCCACGGCTCTGCTTGGGAGAGTAGTAAAAGAGTAAGTATGTAAAAAAGCTTTTATTATGGATTTAATTACATTTTCGTATATTGTGGTAGTAAAGGTTACAGTTAACAGGGTGTTTTTTTGCTTTTAATTTATTGGTTTCTCCTTATTTATTCTTTCCTTATAGGCCCCTCAATGCCATTGCCTTTAAGTCCCCCCGGTTAATGGAAAGCAATGACACTAATGCTAGATTTTGCAAAGTAAAGCCCTATAACACTAACCATTGTTCAGTGATTTAACCAGCTCAGTGGCACTAGGTCACTAAAATAGCATCCTTCTCCCACGGGCTCGACCCCGCTGCCTGCCAGGGTGGGACCTGCAGAGTTGATGTTTACCATCACGGCTCCACAAGTACAAGGCAGGAGTTTGGGCTTTTTTTGCTGGGGATAATTGAACTCGAGATCAACCAGATCCCGGGACTTTAAAAACTGTGGCTGAAGAATTGTAGCCATCCTCAAAAGTTTCAAAATAAACCTTTTTTAATCATTAGCTTTTCAAACATTTGCATGTTTAAATTTTCAAATGTTTGTTGGAGCCCAGAAAGATTTAGAACACAGCTGTTGTGTGATGTGTCTGGGAAAACTCCCTCTGATTTAAAAAAAAAAAAAAAAAGCCCAGAGACTGTCTGTAGTCTGACAGCAAAAGTTCAGTTTCTTAGGTAATCCTAAACTGTCACCGTGGGTCTGTTTTCTTGAAGCCACATCACCCTGGCACCCAGGTGCTCTAGTCTGAACTATAAAATTCCCCTACAAGATCGTGTCTACAGAAAGCCTTTAGAAAGTCCTTTTAGGAAAACGTGGTACAAAGTACCCACCAAATGCAAATAAAGTACAGTAGCAGCATAAGAAAGATTTTATGGGGAAAAAACAGTGTTTTTCTTATGGAAAATAAACTTGTTGAGCACATCTATAGAAGCATTATTTGACAAAAACTACAATTTAATAATGCACAAGCCAATTAGAGATGCAGAAACTTTTAAAGGCAAATCGGCAAAGAGCCAAATTCCTATAGGGACTAGGAGGGAAATGATCAAAAAATGAACATGAAATAAGACTTCCTGCAAGAAGGTCCATAATTCAACATTATTTGACTCCACTGTCAGGGAAATTGTTGAAGGATAGTAAACTGATACTAGAGTCTCAGTCATTTTTGTTACAGTCTTAAATGTTTGCAACTGTGGTGTTTTAGATGGCCCTTCTTGGGTGATAATATATCACATATATATACGTATATAATAAAGCAACACCTCTATTTATGTTGCAGTAGATTTCATTTTAATGTGCGCTGTTGCAGAGTTGCTCTAACCAAAATGCGGATCGACAGCAGCTTTTTTTTTTTTTTAATGGAAAAATTACTTAAAATATATTCTTTACGAAGAAAGAATCATAAACTGGAATCCAATATACAGCATATCTGAAGGTGGTAGAGTTGTTCAGAGCATTGCCCAGTTACGACTAGACTTAACTTTCCCAAATTCTCAGATATGTCAGCTGTGCCTTATAGCCAGTACAAAATAATGCCTTGGGGAAAAAAATTACTGAGAAAGTACTTCTTCACAGGTACTTTCAAGCCGTGTGTAGTTTTAAGGAGGGGAATAAGAATATTGCTGCCTTCAGGATCTGTACTCCTGTATTGGAGGAACAGGCATCAAAATAATATATGCAGTGCAGAGGATGCAAGGTAGAATTCATTTCTGCGTAATAAAAGAGTTGCAGTGAAGTAGGACTCTGAGGAGGGCTAATAAAATAATTTTTGAAAGACTCAAAATTTAATTTTCTTCCTCTGACTTTATGTCACCTTGAGCCAGTGAATCTTTTTTTTGTTTGTTTGTTTTTAGTAACTTTTATTTATATTTTTTTTCTGTGATATTTAGAATGTGTTACCATGCTACAGTTTGACAGACTATTTATTGTAAAGATAGAACATGTTAATTTCTATTCTGGATGTGTTATCATCCGATACACTGTGGCTGAAATTGTATTAGCAAAATGAACTTTTCTTTGCTCTCCATTTCTTTAATCGAGTAAATACATTGTTAAATAGATATAAGATTGAATATATTTCCTTTAATTTTTTATTTCAATTCAAGATCTTTGGGGTTTTTTAAAATTTTTTTAATCATTGATGAGCCCAAAAGCAGCCATCCTTACACCTGGGTGTAAGATTTGCTGCCTTCCTTAAGTTGCATGCTCATGCCTAACTTCTGTGTAAAGTTTTCCAAACTGAAGTTACATTTTGTTGCAAAGAATAGTTTAATTGTCAGATTTTTTTGGAATTCTTTTCAGCATCAAACCTGACAGACCTGAGTTTAAATCCCAGGTAACCTCGGAATTCATCCTAAACATTTGCGAATGTATTCCAAGGCTTTCCTGTAAGCTGGAGCTTGCCACGTCTTTGCGTTAGGGACCGCAGATTGTTATTTTTGGGCAACTTGGAGGTTTGCAAGTTGTGAAAAAATGAGTTGTACCTTAAGTTTAACCTTTATGGCTGAGGGTTTGAGTCTTCCCTGCTCGTCCGCAGGTAACGATAAAC